TTGTTCCACAATTCGATATTTAATATGCAAATATAATTTTGATATATAACAGCGAATTTGAAAAAGTGAAGAAACAATTTCAATATACAAGATTGTCTCTCTTCTGAACTGTAATTACACAAAATAAAGCTGGTCGAGGTTTTTTTTTATTATTGGGATTGAATTCTATTAACATGAATCAGAACAAGTCTAATTAAAGGTTAAAAACTTTAAATGTTTCTAATTAAGAGTCTAAATAGCTGCATGATTAGAGTACTATAGTTAAAATCCCACCTCAATGACTTTCCTGGCCTCTTTGTATTTTCCTGTTTGCAAGAAGGCAAAGAAGAGATCATAAAGAGCCATCATGTCACCATATTCTCTGCTTATAAAATCTGAAACTAAAGAGAGAATGAAACTCATTAATTTGCTAAATATATTGAAGCATTTTAATATCTACATCAGATATTAATACTAATATTTTCCAAGCTTCACAAAACTCTAAGAATAAGCTATTGGGAAATAAATTTTGAAATATACAGAATGATTACAACATATTACACAATTTGTTGTAGCTTTGCAGTTGAGCATATTTAAAATGTTTTTGTTTATCTGCACTATATTTTGAATTACATTCAACAAAATAGACTATACATTGGCATTCTCTACTTGTAGTGAGTGAAGACATAGTATTTCTTAACTGCACAACTATTTTAAAAACAGATGTGTTGTTTTACTATTGTGTTGTGTTACTACTAAGTTATTTCTTAGTAGTATTATACATAGCTAGAATAAGCATTAGCACTAATCTTTGAGAGCTTGATGCTGTATTATCCAAACATTAGGATTCTTCTACATTTAAAATTAATATCAATTTTCAATCTGAAGAACATAGACATCATTTAAGTGCTTTAAAGTTACACATATAAACACAAACCATTTTTTTTCTTCTTGATTGAAAGAAATGATACACAAATCATGGAAGAAAAGCCTCCAGAAAATACTCCATATAACCAGACAGCATCTGACTGCATGCAACTAACCCTTTTGCAGAAGATCAGCATCTCCTTTTTCTATCAGTCTACAGTAGATGTTATGAAGCTGAAGAATTTTACCATACTTCTTATAACAGTTGATTAAAGCTTCCAGAGCTGCAGGCATGTCATCCCTTGTGGAATGAAACAAAACAAGAATAAAAACAATCAAACCTTCCAAGCAGGAGCAGTGTGTGCTGAACCCACTTTAGTCTTGAAAATTTCAAGGAAAATTCATTCAGCAGTTTATAATCCAAGAGTGTATTTCCCACCCCACAACATGCTACAGTTATTTTTAAATAACAGCTAAAGTTCTCCTACAAACAAATACCATATATGCTTGACACTGACAGAAATGAAAACAGAACTACAGATTTATGCTTAAACCTCGTGGCTGTATGATTTTGATTGCATGACCACCATTCACTACAAATTAACCAAAGGTGTGAATATTCTTCATCACTGGATGCACTTAATTTTTGAAGTAAAATTCTCAAGTTCTGCTATGTACTATTGGGACAAAACCCCAACTGCACGGAAATTTCAGTTTGTATAGAAGAGTTCCATTTTTCTTGTTAATAATATTACATTATTTTACATTATATTAATATTACATTACCTCCAAATGTCTCTGTTTAGACATTTTCAATTTTTAAGCTCTTGAAAATTTTTCCACAGCATTTTTATTGCAGTATGGATCTCCAGAGGTACCTAAGTTAAAACACAGCTCTTTCCATGGCTTTATAATTGTTTTACACCTTAACAAACTAGCTATAAATCATCTATCAGTTTCCATTTCGTCACTAGAGCAGGACTACTGTTATTCCATTCTATGTAACGGTCAGAATCCAATGCAAAAATCTTATTTTTATTGCAGAAAAAACGCAATTAATTCAACAATATATTAAGGCACCAAAATGTATTTTATCCTGGCCTATCCATGTCACATAGAGCCATGGCACCAGTAAATTAGTGTGTAAGATGCTGACTTCCTTAAATGCATTTATTCAGATGCCTTTGAGTGGTAAGTACCAGTCCCTTCCAACCCAAACTATTCTATCATTCTAAGTATGGTATTTCCATTGTTATCTCAGCCCTTCACTGACTTTTTTCCCCCCTGTGTATACGGTATTAACGCCTTCGGAAGTCTACATAGTTAAAATGCAAAACTGAAAAGCCATAAAAACAATCAGATCTGGAACTTAAAATAACAACAAATAAAAATTAACATTCTACACTGTGCAACCAACAGAACTAAATCATCTGCTGCAGACTTTTTCTCAAAGGATTACAACCCAACCTAAAAAAACCCCAAAACCAACTGAGGATAACCACTGAAACACTTGTAAAACAATATGTGAAGTTATTCTTTGAAGGGGAAGGTTTAAACTCAAGTTGAAACAAATCAAGATGACACACACAAAATGTATTAAGTAGCCAGACTGTCAATAAGACTGCATTTTAGATTTCAAAAGGCTTATCAAATAAAGGGTGGTAGAAGTAGGTAAAGGGAAAAACAAACAAAAAACCCCACTGAACAGCAGCAGCTGAAGGCCATAATAAAACTGACTTGATATAATGATTTTTGCATTCCTCAAGCAGCTTCATTATTGATCAACTAAACTGTAACAAATTAAGATATTACTGTTAAAACAAGCCAAATTCAGGTGTCTTCTCCTTACACTGCATTTCTTTTGCAGTACAAATTTTGCTTTTTCAACGAATGAACCATCTATATTGTTACATACTATCTTCATCTAGGCTAATATTTTAAAAATTTTAAGAGCAAAACACAGAAGAATGAATTTTTTTCAGTAATAGTGGTGTTCTGAAAACAAACCTAAGATGATGGATTTCTACCTTATCCCCCTTATCGAGCCCTGTTTACAGTGCATCTTCTGGCACCCCATGGAGTCATTTGAATTTTTGTCATTTGGGGTGAAGACTAAATTACAGGTTAATTTCAAAACAGCAAGTAGATGTTGCAGGCTAGATTACTGTCATAAAAGAGAAATACTATGGTAGTTACCATAGACAGATATAAAGCTTTATATAATCAGTATTTTTCTCCTACTTTAGATGCAAGTTCAGTTAACATCTAAAAAAACAGTTTTACAGAAAACTACTCAATTTCTAAGGAGGCAAAACAACATTTATACATTTAAATTAAAGTTTTCAGTGATAAATCTAGCTTTTCAGATTGATGCTCAAACAGCCATAGTAGTGTCTCAGCTGTATTCCTAAAGGATTAAAGTCACTGTTTTTAGGTCAAAGCTATCAATAAAGGAATGAGTAATTGGAATGTTTTAAACAGGAACGTTAAGCATTTCCTAGTCTCTAAATGTATACTTCTGATGGTGTTAATACTGTATACATAGAGAAAAAAGTTAGCAAAGAGCTGAGATAACAAAAATACAAATACTGTGCTTGTTTCTGGTACTTACTGCTCAAAGGCACCTGAATAAGTCTTCATTTAAGGAGGTCAGTATCTTACACACTAATGTACTAGACATTTGTTTTGAATTTATTGAAATCTGATATATTTGTCCTGTTGCATTCAAGCAACCAACCAGTCATCCACAGTTTACTAGAGAACAGCATTTATAAACCAGATAAAATTTGGAACCAGCTATAAAACATTAGAACATATAAAAGTTCAGCCTCTACAAAGAAATCGTTTGTATTACTACAACAAAGAAGAGCACATCAAGCTCATGCTTGTACTTGAGTTAATATGATTTATTCAACAACGTCCAGCATTTCTTAATCGTCACAAACTGCAATTAATTCCAAGTAAGTACCAGCAAATACTTTTGTAAGCAGTTTTTACAATCCCGTTAGAAAAGCCCAATGGAAATTAGGAACTTACTGTAGGCTTCAAATTTGAAGTATAGGTAACATTTTAATTTGTTTCTTGTTATGACTCACTAACTTAAAAAAGGGACTGCACAAAAAAAGATTTTCCACATTTTAAGAAAATGCTATTTAGACATAAGGATTTTAAACATGGCCATACATTTGAAAATATTTGGCAGTCTTTCTCTATGACCTTATGCATGTCAAACACCCTTTTATTTTCCCAAAGGATACTTACTCAACTACTACTGTAAAAGCCTGGTCCAAACTTACTATTTAATTAATACAGATCTATTCAAAAAAGAAATAAAGCCCATACACTCATAGCCATGTTGGAAAAATCTGTTTTCTGGTGTCAGTCTGGACAAAACAGCATTTAAAATGTGAACACAGATGATCCATGCTTCATTTTGAGTTGGCCAGATAGTACAGCTTTAAGTCACTCACAAATATTATCTGTTCAGGGCTAATACCTTTGCCACTTAAAGATTAGGTGTATTTTTCCCCCTTGTTGAAACTTGTTCTTTTAAAAAAGAAGATATACTATTATTTTTGAATGGCAGAGGGAGCCTCAGTCATCAATGTATTACGCTTGGCCCTTATGTAATCCCAGAATAGTCCTACTTTGGCATTATTTTTCAACTAAATTGAAGCTGGGGTTAAGATATCCTAAGTTTTTGGATTCATTTGGTTTCTGCTCAGGATGCCTGTGAAGTCCACTTTGGGCATAATCTTACAAAATATTTGTGTGGGCAATTTTACTCATGCAAAGCTATTTTAAGAGACAAAATTACTCGGATGTCTGACTGTTTGCAGAACACGCTCTGTAACAGGACTGGCTATAATGTGCATGGATGTAACATCCCCCTTCAATTTCAACAAGCCACTCCCCTCTTGCTTCAAGAACATAGCACTAAATCTAACCCTTTTACTTGTAATAAACAACTTTAGCAACCAGAGAGTCTGCCTGATAAAAATAAGACCCCAAATATTGATTTTAATTGGAATGAAGTGCTGCAACATTATGCATAAAGCTTTAGTGAAGTGGCAATTTACCTAAGGGGTTTACTGATTGAAAAGCTCTCAAACCTGAAATCACTAGAGAGGTAGAAAGAAAAAAAGGACTCTGGGGTGGGGGTGGAGGGTAGACTGGTAAAACAAATCCGTCTCTGCAAATCTGAAGCAGATGTTAGTGTAGAGGGAAGTCAATTCAGCAAGGTACAATCAGCTTACAAAAATTATTCTGTGAAAAGAGAACAGGCTCCTGAAAGAGCTAAATGTTTTTCTGTTCATTTGCTATACTAAGGAATCTTCAAGGAGACTGGTGTTGCAATTACAACTAATCCTCCCCAAAAAATTAACTGTGTTGAAGGCTTTGTAATTTCCCTAGGTACAATTTAGCTGTCACTTACTTTAAAATTTACTCAAACATGCGTTCCGAACAGCACTAACTTCACATGTCAAGTGCTTTCCAGCCAATTGAGTCTAAACTGGAAGTCGGTGTTAAACAACTGAATGATTAGACAAGATAGCTCATTTCCCTGCTCTTTTGTTCAGAATAAAATGCCACATTTACATTATCAGACTCAACAGGATTTTCTGACAGAGGGAGAAAAAACCCTAGTGAACACTGTCCGTAGGAAGCACATGAAGCCTGTCATTTACCAATCATCCTTCAAAAAGCAATAGCCATGAATGTAACTTAATTACGACCCAATGATCCTTGACGAAAAATCATCTTATCACTGTCCTGTCCCCATAGGGCAAATCAGACACTTTTGTCCTTTGGCACTGACGATGCTAAATTCCTAATTGCAATAATGGAGTAAGAGAGCCAAACATCCCTAATTTCATTGCAACACGTAACGAGTTTTACTACAAATATTTGAAATAAAGCTGCTAAAAATTAGGAAAAAAAACCTCTCCCCACTAGAGATATTCTTTTCCCACTGAAAATACCACCTAATTTAAAAAGATGCCTATTTTTAAAGTAAATTTAGAAGTCAATTAACTTGTATGCACTACAGAATCATTTCAAATAAAATCACAGTTGAATTTAACTGTGAAAACAACAGAAGAAAAATTGTCAAGGTACTGGATTCATGCTGTATCTACTACATAAGAAACTAAACAAAATGGGTTTATATAAGATTAATCACAAAGCAGCACACAATGTTTTACTGGACAATGCTGTATTAAAATACACTGACCATTTTTAAAGAACACAATTCAGCTATAGCCTTTTGATCATTTAAAATACAGATATTAACTGCTTGCATTCACTGACTTAAAAACCACAAAATATTTTATTCATACAGTCTGTAACATAATGTTTTCATAGTTTACCTGCAAATTTTATTCCTTCTGCTTAGGAGCAATTCCGATATGGGCAATTAGTAAATGTCAAACCTGAAGATACTATTTGTCTTCTCTCAGAGATGATTTTTTTTTTTTTATTCAAGGAGAGCAAAAACAAAGTTATGTTGATGAAAAGACAGGAGCCACATCAAGTTTTTAAGACGTGTATTCCTATTTTTGGTTGTACGCAAGTTGGCTTAAGCAACTTTTTAGGAAGAAAAAAAAATTATCAGTAGTTACTGTAGCTGTGAATTCATCATCCTGTAAATAGGTATTCTCAAAGTACCGTACAGCACAGGAGCAGGTTAGCTTCACAAACCTCTTCAGTTTTGTAAAATGGCTCATATTCAAATAGGTTTCCCTGACAGTTGGTAGAGAAGGTAAAACCCAAAACTACACTCCTTAAAATCACTAAGAGATTTTAAATGGTGTAGGTGACACAACTGTCTCCAATTATCAGTTGGAAGAACCAGTTCAATAGTAAAATATGCTTTCAGAACAAGTGCAAGCTCTTCACATCCTTGCAGCTTTTAGAAACTAAGATTTTTGTCATACTGTCCAAGGCAGCTTTATCACCTTGGATGACAGATCAAGATTCCACATGTGGACTGCCTCAATTTTTAACGTGATTTTACCACCTTGAGAAACTGTTCAGAGTTATAAATAGTAATCATACAATTAAAAGCAGGGGGGTGGTACCCCTTAAATTTACTCAGGGTGAAAAACTAGGTATGAGTTGTCTCTCTAGTTACATCACTAGCTACATCAGTTAAATACTTCTCAAAATACTGAGGGCAAAATGCCCAATCTACTAGAATATTAGACTTTGTTAGCTTTTGTCAAGTTGTACTGCTCATCATTAACAACTTTTTTCTTTTCCATGCTCTGCTGCAAATTGTCATTTTTAATATGCACTAGGACTTAACAAGAATTACAGAATATTCAGGACTGGGTACAGAGAAAAGCGGTAGATGAAAACATTTTACACCTACAGTTGTTGAAATATTCAAAAGGAAATCGCAGATTCCTTTATAAGCAATTAAAAAGTTGGAAATAAATTAACAACACAAAACACTTCCACAGCCACTGCTGTGGAACATTAAAAAACATTCCAGAGCTAATTTCAGAGGCATGCTGGCAACCTGCAGCTAAATGACAGCATTTCAGCATGATACTTGAGCTCTAGGATGGCAAATAGTAAGCACTACTGCTGCAATGAACGACTAACACTTATTTCAGTGACCCATAAGTTTAAAAAAACTCATCTCCAAGACAGGAGAAACAAAAAACAGCAACAAAAAAGGTGAAATTAAGTTACTTCTCCCAAACACGTTATGTGGAAAAAGCTTCACCCTTTTGTTCTGACATTGGAGAGGAAGCAAGTCTCTCCACCGATAAGGTGGCAAAAAAACATAGGAAATGAGCTTACTTTGTATTGTATTTATATATATATGAAATGTATTAAGAGTTATACATATGAATACCAATGATTTGTAGCCATACAGTTCCACAGTATGAAATTACTTTCTCCTTTAAAAACGCAGTCCGAGTCCCCTTATTTAAAAAAAAAAAAAAAAACCCAAAAAAAACTTTAGAAGGTTTTACCAAACACTTACAATCCAAACTGAAGTCACACTTTACTGTCCCCCTTTGCACCCACACGTGATCACGTCTTTACTTACAACACCATATACTTCTGAATTGCAAAGAACCCAAGTAGCACCATATACAGCTTGCATGTCAACATGCATACGGCAATTATGTAAAATGCAGCTGCTCTTACTGCACACTGCAAAGCATATCAGATATTTTCCCAACACACTAGTTACATATGATTGCAGTTAAATTACTTTCACAAACATCTGCTTTGTCTTGTGATGTAACCAAGGCAGTGTTACTAACTGAAAAGATGTACATTATATTCTTAAATGTTGACCACTACATATTAGAAGAGAATGTACATGGATCTACCAAGAGTTACATCTCTTTGACAAGAATTTTGACAAGACTTAAAAGAACTAAAAAACCTCTACACGTTAAGAGAAACATTAATATGTATCTTTGCGGCTGACTTACACGGTACTATGAAAGACTCACTTATTTTATAATTATTATATTTAAGCCAAAAGCATTCCCTATACATGAACCAAACTGCAAGAAATTCATCACACTAGCTGCAAGAGATAAAAATCCAGTAACTAAATAAATCACATAAGAAAAAAAAGATGAAAGGATTGTGCATATGGTAAAGGAAGTGAAAAGGGAGTCTTGCAGCAATTTTAGTAAAAAATTGTTATGTAGTTCATGTGTACATTAGCTCAAATACCCTACACCTCATAACAGAAATTTATGCAAAAACATGACACATGGAACTACAGATACTTCCTGCCAGAACTAAGTATGATCTTCCTTTTCTAACAAAGGGAATTAAAAGTACATGTGAGAAAAATAAAAACCACAATGGACAAATCAGACAGTACTTTCTTAGATTTTAAATTCAGTAACACAGAAGTCTATTGGCAATAACATCAAGTTATCTGAATTATGTGAATTAAAAATATTTTGGTGTTCAACAACCGCCCTCCAACTCACCTGAGATATATTGGGTGGCACAGCAAAATAACGCTGTTTTGATGGGAAAACATACACTACTTAACCACAAGAGCTGAGAATATACCTATTATGCTCTTGTCAAACAGACTTGAGAACCAACTAATTCACAAGCATATTGCAATATATAGACATTTCATGTCTGATGTGTCCACAAAACACAGCTGTTGTTCCCAAAGACCATGACGTGATGTATAACTGATGAAAACAGACTCATCTAACTTAAGAAATTCATTCATGACTATTCCTAGGTCACTTAAGTGTTATATGTGCATGCATGTGTGCATGTTTACGTGCATGAGCACTTTCAAACATGAATGTGTAGCTATGAATCGCATACACAGGTTACATAACACAAATATCGTATCATAACCTGTGTCATCTGAAGCCCAAATATAGCTTACTTTTCAAGGTGAACTGTAATCAGAGGGCAATGAAGGACAGCAGTTTCTGCCAACCCCAGGTTCACAATGGTCTCATGTAATCGATTCACTGTTTCAACTTCACCTCGCATGGCAGCGGCATTAAGAATGCGGAAAAAAGATGCAACTGTTCTGTCTGAGATAGGAACATCCTTCTCTTTCATCTCCGTTAGAATGTTAATAGCATCTACAATGAAACAACACAAAAGACCCTTAGGTAATTTCATGTAGGGA